TGCAAATCTTCAGGATTTGCATTGCTGGAGACACAGACGCACCTCTTTACATCAGCTGTTTGCATTAAGCCTGATGTCATGTGCATTGTTCCAAATGTGTTGAAGGGCATTGCTGTAAATGTTTTGCAAGAAGATAACAAATACCCTGCAAACAGTCATCTTATCTGTTTACTGCACTCACACCAATGCCCCTCCTCCCTCTTTCCATGAGTGCACAGCCTGTTCTCTCCGCCCCTCGGCATACATTTTTCCCTCTGTGCTGTCAAACAGGTGGAGCCAGCTCACTGTAAACAAGGCCGAGGTGCAGCAAGCGGGTGTATACGTTTATTTTCTGTCGTTCGATTAGTCCCCTCTGCCTTCGCTCTTAGGTTTCTGCAGAAGTTTACAGCCGCTAAACTCTCACATTGTATGCTTTCATTTCTTCACCATCATTGTCCTGTCTGCTCTCCTCAGGGTCAGTGTGGCTCCTGCTGGGCTTTCAGTTCCACCGGAGCTCTGGAGGGTCAGCAGTTCAGGAAGACCGGCAAGCTGGTGTCGCTGAGCGAGCAGAACTTGGTGGAATGCTCCAGACCCGAGGGTAACGAGGGCTGCAACGGAGGTCTGATGGACCAGGCCTTCCAGTACGTCAAGGACAACCAGGGCCTGGACTCTGAGGAGTCCTACCCTTACCTGGGAACCGTACGTATCTCTCACGAGTCCTCAGCACAAATGAAAAGAAGTAATTTGTCTTTTACTGACCTGTCAGCAGTTTACTTATCAGTTGTTGGCGTAATTGAGTCACTGATCATTTAATTCACAGCTCAGTGTTATCCTCACTCACCACCACCTTCCCTCTTTCAGGATGACCAGCAGTGCCATTACGACCCCCAGTACAACTCTGTCAATGACACCGGCTTCGTGGACGTTAAGAGCGGCAACGAGCATGCTCTGATGAAGGCCGTTGCTGCTGTTGGACCCATTTCAGTCGCCATTGATGCTGGACACGAGTCTTTCCAGTTTTACCAGTCAGGTCGGTGTTTGCCAGTTATAAAACCCATTTTAACTTAAAGCTTCTAAAATGCACAGACAGGCGAGGAGGAGTTGACTAGTTCCTGCGTCAGGTTTCATGCTCAAACTGAGCTGCAGGTTTGACTCGTGGCTTTAAATTTCAGGAATCTACTATGAGCCAGAGTGCAGCAGCGAGGAGCTGGACCACGGCGTGCTGTTGGTGGGCTACGGCTTCGAGGGAGAAGATGTGGACGGCAAGAAGTACTGGATCGTCAAGAACAGGTCAGTCAGGCTTTCACAGCTGCAGTGAAAGTGTGTAAAATCCACTCAACAGGAGTCGTTTCACTTCCTTTCAATGCTGATGAATTTCACTTCCAGTTGGTGTTAAAGCTCCTAAATGTCACAGACTTCTCAGCCTGATGGAAAACGCTCTACTGATATGTATGAGAGTCGTTCTAATGTAAATAGGACAGTTTCAGGCCCTTTGTGTCGTCGTCTCTGCATCACAAAGGAACCAAACCGTCACCTCCTGACTTTTGTTTTCTTATCTCTGCAGCTGGAGTGAGAACTGGGGAAACAAAGGCTACGTCTACATGGCTAAAGACCGACAGAACCACTGTGGTATTGCGACAGCAGCCAGCTACCCCCTGGTGTGAGGCCGGCTCCACCTCGTAGCACCGTAGTGTTTTTATTCTAATTCTCTGGACAGGAGGGACGACGCTGCAGTCGACGTGAGACACGCAGGCGATTCTGAGGTTTCACCATCAATAACACTGATTTTAGGGAAATTGTCCTTTTTGTTTTCTGCTACTTCATGTTGTCAGGAAAAAAATTAGCTCATCGTTTTATTCTCTGTAAATATGTGTACTACTTGGTAAGTGATCATTACCACTTGCTATGGTCATTGTAAATGATTTCTTTTCTACTTTTACTGTGATCAATTAAAGTTTTAAAACACTAGTCTGGACTCAGGACTGTTTTTAAAGACGTGTTTCACCCCGAGCGCTTTCCTCATCTGATTATAATCAAACTGATGTCAACATTAAACTCTGTCCCTGCAGAACTCACAATATTGCTCTAGAACGCTAATGAAGTTAGCTAACATTGAGTTAGCTAATGTTAGCTTCAGCTCTGCTTCTGCTGGTTTTAAAATGTAAAGCTATGAGGCTAATGAGCTCACTCCACAGCCGTGCTCGCTGACGCCTGGTACTGGGATCTCATGGATTTCTGGTCAAAGGTGCCAAGTGAGAAGGAAACTGGGGAAACCTGACCCAGTAAATACTGCTTACATAATGCTTTTCTCATAAATCTGAGCACTTCTTACAGTATCTCACCCAAAGACGCCTCTAACATGAGCATGGGCAGCCAGCGATCAAACCTACAGCCTTCTGGTCAATAGATGAGTCTTTTTACTTCAAACCACCAAATATTCAAGTGTAAAAAGCACCTAAAAACTATACCTCATGACTGATGATCATTGACTTCTACTGGTTGATTACCAGATGTTAGCAAGGATAAAACCTCAGTTAACATTCATGCTAGCAACATTATGGTGATAGCTTTAGATTAAAAAAACAAAAACCCAACTGATTACTGTCGTCGTGGTATTTTAAGACCAACTGTTAAATAGAAAAGTGAGAATTCAAATATCTTTAATTTATTTAGCACTAAATAGCCACAGCGGCCTCTGCAGCTGGAGGATGCTGGAAGCTAAAGGCCCTGCGATCATGCAGAGGAAACCCTAAAATCACAAGTCCCTCTGAGCACATGGCAACAGTCAGATTTTTGCTAAAAAAAAAAAAAGAGTCAAAAACACAGACTGATACCTGAATTATTTCTGGTGTCATTAACTGTGACATAATTTATGAATGTGCCTGTGTTGGGTCATATATGCTGCATAAAAACAGAAAGAAATATAAATCTATTTAAGGTTAAGCTGAATATTTAGCTGTTAAAGCAGAAACAACATCAGGTCACGACTGTGAGAAAACCACATTTTAAGAATCTTCAGCCAGTCGAAGCTCCCGCAGCTTTATGAGAACTTCTTGACGAAGGACAGGTACTCGTTGACGTCATCAGGGGAGCCGACGACAAAGGGCACCCGCTGGTGGAGCGATTCAGGCTGAACGTCCAGTATCCTCTGCGTGCCCGTGGTGGCGAGGCCACCGGCCTGCTCGATGATGAAGGCGATGGGGTTGCACTCGTAAAGCAGCCGCAGCTTCAAGGAGAAGTTAAAAAAAGGACACGTACTTGAGTTAATATTGAAAAGAGAAGCTCAGCTGTTTACAGATAAAGGTCACACGGTCACAGCTGGAATCTGAACCGCTCAATCATTTCTAAAGATGGTAAATATTCACTCAGACTGATAACCACCTTACAGCGGGCAGCCGAGGCTCACAACAGCACGTTTCCAGTTTTGTGAGTCACATTCATGAGCATAAAAATGTATATTAATGTTACTGTAACATCAGATCAGGAGAAATCTGTTTTTAAAATCCTTTTTAACTTGACTGAATTCATTTGAGTTGATTGAGTAAAGATGATCCAACACTTTAAAGATTTAAATAACCAGGAGCCGTGCAGGTTTGTGGAGAGCAGCCGCTGTTTGTGTAGCTACAGTTTACAGATGACCACACGTCGCAGGCGATCATCAGCACAGACTCGTGTTCATGTTTAGTTTTTAATTATCACGGATATAAAACTAAATGAGTGCTGGACTCTGAACACGCAACAAACAGAAGACGAACCCCAGACTAATAATCAGAGGCACTAATAATCTCACATAATAAGCACGCACAGGTCCCAGCGGCGATCTGTTATCACGTATGAAGACGTATGAACCCTGCTTCCGGGTCCAAATGTTTATTAAGGCTGTCGTGTTTTTAACATGTTTTAATGCTTTGTATCTGTTTCTGTTTAACCTGAACAAGCTCCTGTTAACTTTTACCGAGTGGAAAAAGTTAGTGTTCATCCTCCAGCTTCACTGTGTTTATGCTAAGCTGCTGTTATTGTTCTATATTTCTTCATACATTCTTATATATTTCTATAT